TTCATGTGTCTGTTGGCCATTTGTAGATCTTCCTTTGAGAAATGGCTGTTCAGGTCCTTTGTCCATTTTTTAATTGGGTTACTTTTTTTGCTGCTAAGCTATTTGAGTTCCTTGTATACTCTGGATATTAATCCTTCATTAGAACCATATTTTGCAAATATAGTCACCCCCTTTGTAGGTGGTCTTTTTGAACTCTTGTTTCTTTTGCTGTGCAGAAGCCTTTTAGTTTTATACAATCCCATTTGTTTATTTTTCCTTTGTTTGCCTGTGCTTTGGGGGCTGAATTCATAAAGCCTATGCCTAACCTAAATTCCTGAAGTGTTTCCCCTATGTTTTCTTTTAGGAGTTTTATTGTTTCAGGACACATTTAATTCTTTGATCCATTTTGAATTGGTTTTGGTGACTGGCAAGATGTATGGGTCTAGTTTCATTCTTCTACATATGGATGTCCAATTTTCCCAGCACCATTTATTGNCATTCCTTGCAATTGGTAAAATCTGCCATGAATAATTTCTTAGAAATGTAACGAATATTTTTATTTATTTCTTAAATTTATCAATATACTATGTAGTTGATTTTTGTGGCCCTTTACTGATTCCTCCCATTTCCCCCTCCCTCTTCCCCCAGCCATCAACATCAACATCATATCTGTTCACTTCTCTTAATAAGTTTAAGGAATTATTGTGATTCTTTTGTCCCTTTTTTCCCCATTTATTTGTTTGTTTATTGATTGTTATTAGTTCCTACATGTAAGTGAGAACATGCAGTACTTATCTTTCTGTGCCTGGCTTAATTCACTTAATATAATCTTCTCTAATTTCATCCATGTTGCTGCAAATGGTAGTATTTCATTCTTTTTTTATAGCAAAGTAGTATTACATTGTGTAGATATACCACATTTTCCTTATCCACTCATCTGATGATGGGCATTTAGGCTGGTTCCAACTCTTGTAAATAGAGTTATTGTAAATAGAGCTGCAAAATACATCAGACTACAGGTATTCCTTCAACATGACGATTTCCATTCCTTTGGATATATA